GATTTGAAGTTTTACGACGGTACTAAGCATTTCAACTTATAATAAAACAAAGATATTTAATAAAAAATCATAGATCATTTTCCAGTTATATATATATATATATATATATATATATATATATATATATATATATATATATATATATATATATCTTAAATTTGCTTATGACAAGTTCTTATTAATAACCACAACATAGCTTAGTTACACACTACAATAAGTACAACCTTTGTTCAGCGATATTGTGCGTCCAGCTACTCGGCTGATTGAATGTCAGTCTGCTAATTGAATAGAGCCATTCAATTAAAGCGCTAGCCGCTCAATTGGTCGGTTATTTATACCACTTGGCTGCGACATAGATACAATACCACGCGGGCAAAACCTCTGGCTAGTAGATGATAAAAATTAAATGACATCTTTATTTTACACATGTAGAACATAAAATAACTATTATCTACTGTCCTTCTAGCTCGGTGACGTAGTGGATTAGCGCCGCGGCCCGCGATAGTAGTCGTTAAGCAACTTTCACAAGGGTCGGTCACGGGATGGGTGACCAAAAAATTATTATCTCGAGCTACTCCGTGCTTCGGAAGGCACGTTAAGCCGTTGGTCCCGGCTGAATTTGCAGTCGTTAATACCCTCCAATCCGCATTGGGCCAGCGTGGAGGGTCATGGCCCTACCTCCTTAACCATCCATAAGGAAGGCCTGAGCTCCTGCAGTGGGGACGTAAAAGGGCTGATGATGATATACTGTCCTTCAATCAATGGGTAAACATTAGATATATTAATTCAGTTAATTTATATATCAAATATCTACTTACACACCCGTATATTTCATCAGTAGGTATTAGCTATGAAGGAGTTATTGTTAACTCCAACAATTCGAAGTTTATATAACACAGACGTGCGGATAAGCAGCTGCAGTCGAAAACAAGTCAGCTTTTACAAAACTATAAAGTTTATCTCAAACCATTTTAGATTTTAAACAGTTGACAATTAAGCACGAAATCCATTGCGTGTAACGTGTAGGCACTTTATTTGATTTTATGGTCCGCTGTCAACTAGGGTTACCACCCGTACTTTTACTAGGGTACTAGGGTTACCGACAATTGTACTCTATACTCTATAAGAAAAATAAAGTACACGAAAATACTTTATGTCGTATGATTTGTTTTGTTTGTGATTTTGAAGCTTAGTCGTAAGTATTTTTTCGTTAAACAAAATTTATCGATTCATGCTGAATAGATAAATAAAAAAAAAAATGTATTTTTAAGTTTAGTAATAAATAATACTTTATTTTGATTCAATTTACTTTGTTTTTGTACCTATAATAACTAATATACTTTAATTTGGGAAAAAAAAGGTGGCAACCCTACTGTCAACCCAATTCCAGAAATTATGTTTTGAAAAGAAAAAATGGAGTCCACTCAAATTTACGTTGATTTAAACTGAAGTGGTTTGAAGTTTCAGGACGGTACTAAGCATTTCAACTTATAATAAAACAAAGATATTTAATAAAAAATCATAGATCATTTTCCAGTTATCATGTTAAACTTTGAATGCCCACAATTATTTATTTATATATGTGTAAGCTATACATAAAAAACTATAACTAAGTATAGGTATCTACTAATCAAATCGTTGCCGATCCAACCAACAGAGTGTGCAACAGGTTGACCGAATAATCAAGTTAGAGGTTAAACTTGTAATCTATAGCTAACGATAAGAACTAGGCATTTAATAAATTAAAATAAACTTATGCGTAATTTCACAAATGACCTTGATTTTCATTTTATCCTGTTTATGAATTGTCATTTAGCTGTTACTTTGTCAAGAAATATAGATATCATCATCATCATCATCATCAGCCCTTTTATGTCCCCACTGCAGGGGCTCAGGCCTTCCTTATGGATGGTTAAGGAGGATGGGCCATGTCCCTCCACGCTGGCCCAATGCGGATTGGAGGGTATTAACGACTGCAAATGCAGCCGGGACCAACGGCTTAACGTGCCTTCCGAAGCACGGAGTAGCTCGAGATAATATTTTTTTGGTCACCTATCCCGTGACCGACCCTTGCGAAAGTTGCTTAACGACAACGATCGCGGGCCGCGGCGCTTATCCACTACGCCACCGAGCTACTACTACGTCACCGAGCTACTAGATACTAAGTACTACTAGATACTATAGATACTAAGTGGAAAATTTAAATAATATATATCTAAAAAACTGCTATCTATCATCTTGTTTAAACCAAATTTTTATTGAAAGTACCTATCTTTATTTTCTTTATTATATTTATTTTGTAGCATTTTACGTTTTTTCAGCATAGTAATACATACATTTTATCAGTTTAGAAGTGTCTAACTTAAGTGAGAAAGAAATGATTTACGCAATCTCTGTGTCATTTCAAAGATTTATCTGTAAATATACTGCAGCTATATTATTTATTTTTTAGTTAATTTGTTTATAGAATAAATATTTTAAATTTCAACTATGTAGTAATAATAGTTTCGAAGAAAGTCACTATGACATATATATGATGAATCTACTTATATGAGTTTTATTTATATTATAATAATTTAATACCTTAGTAGTAGTAGTACGGGGAAGACATATTTATTAGATTTAATTTGCTAACAGCGAGTTGCACAAACGTTCATTAAGATTTCCATTAGTTTAAAGCGACATTACCCATACAAATTTAACATTCATTAGAGCTTAAAGGAGTCATTAAACGTTAATGGACGTTTGTGACATTTTAATTAGTAAGTAAATATTTTCATAAAGGACTAAATTGAGACAGTGGGTTTTAGTTTTAAAGCATTTATTAATGATAGGACATTAACTAATGCTCTAAACCTTAAATACAACGAAAAAAACATGTTATATTTACTTAATTATAATCTAATTTTTGAGTTAAGTTCACGAAACTCGTGTTCTCTCGTGTAAACGTAAACCCCAGAAGTAAAGTAGTACTTTAAGCTTCCTCGTGATTTGTCCTACTCAATGACACAGAGTTAGAGTAGAACAGAAGATGAGACAGTCTACGATATATCAAACGTCAATTTTAAGAGTACAGGGAATAATAAAAATCTATAGGGACCCAAATTCTAATCGTGGTAAAGTGCTTAAAAATGTTTTGAAGTGGGTCACTACTTGAAATTGTTCTTCAAACATTTTTGATAACTTTGTATCGTTACTAAGTTAGGTATAGTTTATTATTGTAATACAATATCTTCGTTTTCCTCGAATCAGCACAGTCCACTTCTATTTATAATAAGAAATAAAGATACATGATTGTATAGCTATGTAAGCATATAAAACAGGGGTCAGCAACCTGCGTGTTGTGAGCCACATGCGATTGCGGCAACAAACGGACTCTTTTGTTGAAAAATTGTCGAAATTCTTCGAATCGAATTATTGTTGGGTATACAATACAATTACTGTTTATATTAAAATAACGCGATATTCAAAAACGGCGTAGATAAAAAATCTTGAATTCATCGGTCGCATGGGCAATTTAATTATTATTTACAGTGAAATAATGAAATAATTATAAAATATACTGAATCACTAAGGAGGTTTGTGTTTCAACACTATTATAAATACTAAACTGCTCAGTTTAGTATTAGTCAGAAAGATATTCAAAGATAGTTATATTAAACTAATATTATAAACAGGTGTAGTTTCTGATTTTATTTGTACTGGGTAATCTTCAGAAATACTGATTCGATCACTAAAATTTATTCATCTACGGGAAGCTCCATCATACGCGGGTTATACATATAGACTATAATTTATGCGAGCCAAGTCACTAGTAAATATCGAACTTTAAACAAAATCACAAATAAAATGTGAATAGTATTAAAACGAAATCTTTCAATGGCATTTTAAAAATGGCTGCTTTAAGGTTGCCGTCCCCTGATCTACAATAGAAGGGGAATTACCGCGAATCGGTTATTAATTAGGGATGTACTCCTGAATTAGAAAACTATTATACTATTTTTTTTTCGAAATAAGATTTATACCACTAATTTAAACTAATTAAAACGAAATCCCCCACTTGATCCACCATCAGTGTTTTCTATTAATAACACAGCATTGAAAGCAGCGTGGAACATAGCTCTGTCGTAGCTTTGTCATATTATCTAATCTGTTCTTTGGGTTTTTCGGTTAAAGATTGTAAAGTTGTTTAAAGATTATTTTCTATAGTCGAATCTATTTCATAAAATTAATATATTAAACAGCTATTTTTTTTTTTTTAATTAATGAAAACTTGTAAGTTTATGTTGTACCGTTCAGATATACTATCTTATTGTATTTTTTGTCGAATAGTAAAGAAAGAAAGAAATAATATAATTTCCCCTTATGATTATTAATTTTAAATATTCCAATGTATTACATTTATCTAAATTATAATATTTGAATTAATTTTGTTAATGATATAAATGTAATTATAATCTGTACTGTAACCGAGTGATGTAATATTCTAAGCGTAAGGTAAGGTTATGACATTCTTAACTTTAAAATAAAGAAATAAGTAGACTTGTGCAAAATAAGAAACAGTTAATGGTTATTTTCTTAAATCAATTTTCCAATAACTTTTTAGTAGTTGGAGTAGCTATATAAATAATGAAAGGTTGTTGCCGACGACGATGACACTAAAACCTCTTTATATAGTTTTTGTATACTTTTTATACTTTTAATATTTTCGTTTGTATTTTGTTTTATTATTTTATTATATAGAAAAATATCGAAACTCACGGCTTTTATTTTAGAATTATTATCAAAGGTGTTCGATTAAATAATTGCTCTCGGAAGAAATCATGATACATTATTTAAAGTCTAAATTAAAATTTGTATTATAAATTAAAATTTTGTTCTTGTTCAAAATTGCATATACTGCACGGTTTTAAAAATTATCGACTCTCTCTTTACTGCTTTTGGCGCGATGGAAGTAACCGGTCGCCTTCGGTCACATTAAAATGACTCATTCGTTCTTTATTCCGAACGCTGGAGGAGCACTAGACAGTTGCAACGTGGTTGAAACTTGTATCGTTTTGTGTCGTGCGGTTGACTCGTGTTTAAAATTGCAGCGTTATTTTGGTGAGTCTTTACATATACTTTATGAAAAATTATGTTGAACTCATATATATAAGTACTAATAAAATACATATCCTTTAACTTGGCACATATTTACTTGATTTATCAAGTAATGTAATGAGTATTCATAATGCTGTCGAGTGTAAAAACGAAAAAGCAGATGTGCAAGCCAACGATTCTGTACCTACACAGAAGTTAGTGCGAGCTTATTAATCTAAACATCGAATTACATTATTCTATTTTTCTTTGCCGTAATTCGCTAAACAGGTATTTAATAGCCGGTTGTATTGAAAAAATAAAACTTTTAGGTAACTATTTGAAAGATAAATGTGTTTTTCTAATGGCACTCATGAGAAATTTTAAATTAAATATATTAATTTGAAATTTTGTTATTTCATAACTACACGGCAATCTGCTCCAGCTTTATAAAGCTCAGCTTTGCTATTTTGTAAAAATCTCGGCGTCAAACGCAACGTTTAGAACAGCGTTGATACAAATTAAAACATTATTACTTTTCATTTCTTTTTTAATCTTTTGCTATAACGTGTGCTACTTTGATGGAATATATGTTTTTGGCTTAGATATTATCGCTATTCATTATCAATTTAAAAATTATACATTAATGATTAAAATTATAAATAAGCCAAGCATTTAAATTGACGCTAGCAGAAAAAAACATTGCGTGACATCGATTTTACAATTAATGTGGAGTGCAGGATTTCCAATGATTGAAATTTTGAAAATTAGTGGACTTACATAGTTATTTTCCATAGGTTTCGGTCGTACTCCTTTTTCTTGAATTCTTATTATTATATAAAAAAATAGTAGTTCACACACTCAACACTATTTTGAGAACAGTTTATTTTTGGTGAGATATTACCACAGCGGTTTATTTTTCGAGAGGAGCGTATTTTTTCACGTATTTTTGCGTTGATACCGTGACAGAGAGAGAGAGATCTTCTTCTTTTTTATATATATATATATATATTGGGTGGGTAGAATTTTAAAAGAGGTTTTATTATCTACCGTTTGAGTAATTTGTATAGTTTTTATATTGTATGTTGTGATGCGTGTAATGTAATAGTAATAATATATATATATATTTATAATAAACGGCGCAGACATGGAGGTATATTAAATTACCTGTCACTGGTTTTGGAAATGTAGAATTTGTATTTGATCCATCTTAAGTTATGAAATATTATCAATACAAGTGTTTATTTATTTCATATGGACAACCAACAGCATACATATTTCAACTTACTTCAGTTGATTACAGTTAGGTTTGAATCTTATGTATATACCAAGTACGCCTTGCCTAATAGACGACACCAACAATTCACTCCACCACTGATAAAAACACTAATGAGAAGGCTAAGGCACTCTCCGGTTCTCAGTGAAAAGTCAGATCAAAATACCTGTAACACGGATCACATGGTTTCAATGAGCATGTCAACCCGTCTCTCAACCAAGCCAATCTAGTCCATAAAACTAAAGAATTCCCATAAAACTAAAGAATTCCTGAATTTGAGCTTTAAAACTTAACTGCGAGTTGAAAAATATATCTAGATTAGGCAAATAAGAACAGACATTCTTGTATGCAAGTGTTACACTATAGGTATATATTTTCACCTAAAAGATGAGAATTTAAATGAAGTAAAACTATTAATAGTTGAAATGCTATTATTATTGGCTTGCTTGCTTAGTATGAGTGTTAGTCTTTGGAGACGGTTATTACCCTTATAGTTTCGCCATGTTCGTCTGTCCATCCGGAATGATATCATAGAGTAATTTGAGACTAGCAAAGTGTAATCTTGATTTTTAAGTTAGATTAGTAATTTTAATAAGATTAAGCTACAGAGAAATTATTGAATGTTATAAAATAAATATAGTACAAATGGTTTAAAATATTAGTTCTAGTTTTATTACTTTAGTAGAAAAGTTGCTTTTGTTTCTTATATAATTAGTAATGGATAGGTAAAAATCTTTGTTTTTCTTACTTTTTATTTATTTTGATAGTTTATATTTAGATTACTTAACGTGTCCTTCGTGTTGCCTGACAAACAGGATCACCTATTTTAGGTACATGATGTTATTTTACCTGTATGAATAATTCTAACTTGAAGTATATTTCAATAAATCTTATTATTACTATTTTAAAATAATATTTTCATTATATTTGATCAATTTCGTGAAAAATGCTATATTTAGATGATAAATATAATTAATAATAATAATGACGTTATTTCCAATAACATTACAATATTCTTTGTACCCTGTCTCATATACTAGTTTGAACTGTATAATGAGAGCAAGTGCCTTCCTTATTACTGTAACAATTCAATATTGGAAGTGGTGTTTTGTGTTAAAAAATAACTTAAGAATTCACGAGTCTCAGTGTTTCAAAATTTATCACAATCTCCTTCAAAGGTACAACTGTGCTATCGACTTATCATTAAAGTCGTTATCTATTTCGGAACGAATTATTATTAGAATTAACAAGACAAAAACTAAAAACTTCGTAAATTATAATTAAATTGATATTTGCTTAAATTGTTAAAAATATAAATTTTCGAGTCCGCTACAAATTATATGACTATAGAGACATCATTCTATTCCTTTTTTTTATCATTAATTTGTTTAAGCAGTACTTCAATATTATATGATAGGTTATTATAAATTTAGGTACAATTTACGAAAAGCGAAGCCACTCTAATTCTGCACTATTCAACAGGACAAAATTTGCCGTTTCACGCAAAAGCCACGCAAAATTAATCGAAATGTAATAGGGAGCTTAATCCGGCACTGCTAAAATACCTACATGTTATGTAGTTTCAGATAACAGGTCGCAGCAATGTACTTTTGTCTGTGTGCAATAAACAAAGGAAATGACGTCATTCATCATACACTGTTGATATCGAAAGACGACTTCAACCACAGGCGTTGTCTCTAATAATAATTTAGTACGAGTCATCATAATACATATTATGTGTAAAAAATACACTTGTATTGGATTTCTAACTTCAAAATCATAAAGGAGAACATTATTTATTTAATCTTTATTATCTATAACAAATGACGGACTTAACGTCTAAAAGTGATTCTTTAGTAAAAATGTACAGTACATTCAAATAGGGGTATAAGAAAACAATAGGATAACCTAGCTTTTAATAGAATGAATAATACCAACATTTTCGGATCAAATTTAGCAGCCATAGAATCTAAAAATAGTTCAAAGTTCTATTAATTAATATTTTCGGTATTCTTTTAGTTGATGGCTACGGAATATCGAAGGGCCATAATCATCTAACTACATAATTAGGTATAAAAAGCTCGTGAAAGTGTACGTATGTTAATGATGATAAACTCTGAAACTAGGTACTGAACCGGTTTTAATTAAATTTCACATGTTGTTATTTTTAAGCTCTAAAGTTTGTGACTTATTAAGCTCTAAAGAGTTAATTTTTATCTACCAACTAAACTCGTCGAGTTTAATGTTATTGAAAATTCAAACGTTACAGTAGTAATACCCATATATAACAAAGTTAAAAGGAAAACTATCACACTTAAGTTGGCTTCACAAGTTTATGAGTAATAGTCGCCCAATTGTATTTAATTCGAAAATTTCGAACTGCTCCTATATAAAAAAAAATACATTAACTATAGATAGTTCATGTATTTTTTTTAACTTTTCTAATGGATAATGGTACGGAACTCCGACTAGCACTTGGTCGGCTTTTTTTTCTCTGAATATATGGCTAATAAAAAAGTTTGATACAGCCGAGACAAAAGAAATATCTTAGTTTGTATTACAGTCAAACAGTCAACAGGGGGTTAAAGGTATATATTTAAATCTGTTGCAATCCGTTTCAATTTGAAAGATATTCACGAACTTCACCCTAAAACTATTTGACATGTGGCACCGTAGTCTTTTGATGTGTTTTCCTAAGATGTTATTATGCTAGTATGATTACGGAAAGCGTTTAATTTTTGCCTATTTTTAATTCCAGAAAGAATGTGCTTCGAGGGAAAATGCTTGGGTTGTATCAAGGTGGAGACGGGCTCCATGATCTTCGCGGTCTTTAACGCCGTAAGTTGCCCCTTGAATAGTAGAGTTCGTTTCACGAAAGAAGTCTCTCGGATTTCAATGTTTTCGTTTTTATTACGAAGAAATAAGAGTTACGCCAAGGGAACTCTTTCGTAAAACTGTATATTTAAGGTATGGTTAGTGTAACCACACGTTCCGTTTGTAAGGGACTGTTTCGTTGTGGTATCGTGTATAGTTTTGAGACAGAAACATCTAGTTTGCGGTGAAACTTTTAGCGAAGACAAATTAAAATATGCTGACACAAAAATCATCAAGTATTATAAAACTCCAAGCAGAGAGTTAGCGAATAGCAAGATAAAATATTTTGAATTATTGTGACCATCATTATAGTAAATAGGGTACCTAATTTATTGCCTAAAACCTATCTCTAACAAACTTTAAAATCGAACAGGAGTCGGTAGAGTATGGGCCTGAGGTGGTGCCATATATTAATTTATTCTCTCAACACAAAATTATGTACATGTAACATGTGAGTCTTCAGATTATTAAAAATATTTTGTATCTTAATTTTGTGAGAGACTGGAGCCCAAAATTGGTTTCAGAAGAAATCTGTGTGTCAGGTCACCAAGATCTCCGCACAGATAAAATATAATATAAATAAAGAATCAATACGAAAGAAAATGCAGTTAAAATGTTGCCATTTTATGAGGAGATAACTATGTGTGTTATATATATTTAGGGTATTTAGTGTCGGACCCTATATTAATTTATTAGAAGGTTAAATAAGAAAACACGTTCACTCTGTAACTCCGTATATTAGCGACTAGTTAAAAAGTCTTTGTTCTACAGATGCTAACAAATTGTTTATAAACATCTTACAAACTAAACTGTACATGTACATGTAGGCATATGTGTCCCTACAGTACTCCCCTTCTTACAATAAAAAATAAAAGTACACATCACATATTGTAAGAAATGTAAAAGAACAGTATAATAAAGAACAATAAAAATAAAATAAACAATTTTTAAATAAATGACAAGTAATTAAAGTGGTTGCCATATAAAATAATATGTAATATAAAACATTTAATTTTTATCAAATACAAATTCTTACTTTATTAGTAAACAAATTAAATTAATTTACATGTTTCCTATCAAAAGCTTATTACTAAACAAAATTACTGTTTAATAGTATCTAAATCCTAACCAATCTAAAATTATATTTATTATACTCTACAATTACATGTTGAATATGGAATTGAACCTATAATTTCCACAACCACTAAACCTAATATTCACTATGCAACTTATTCACTACTATTCACGTATCGTATCGATTTGTTTACATTAACAAATGAGTAATATTTACATTAACAAATTGTGGGAACGCGGCGATCTTGTAAGCTGAGTACAAAAATTGGTTGACAAAAGTTCTTTGTTTAAATCCACTGTTATTATTTCTAGAGCTATACCGATGAAATTGAAATCTTGAGAACAGAACTACCTATTATTTAATTTACAAAGACTTCCGCTTGCTTCGTATTTCGTATACTGCCCTGCGATTCTGTAAAAATCCAGACCCGAATTCGAATTCACTCATGTGTCCGAATTCACGTCATTTAGTGTAAAAATTTTATTGATTCCATTTTTTTGTATAAATATACAAAACAAAATTGATTGAATACACGTGTCTCAGATATTCTATTCCTATATTATTTCGAAACTCACTTCACTTATGCTACGAAACGTTATTACCAATTCAAGGTTGAGTGTATCATTGTATGCCTCTTTTTGAAGTCAATTCGGACATCTGAGAGAATTCGAATTCGGGTTTGGAGTTTTACAGCTGTTCTCTATGCTTCGTCCGTTCGACTAGCTACGCTATAGGTACGTATGTATTACGTCATGCTGTAAAACGTACGGGTGTATTGATAACGCGGCCACTACGCGTAGTTCTCGGCTGTAGAGCTTTACTGGAAGTGACCTCGTTATTTAAACTAGAATCGTTACTCTTATTAAAATTCGAACTATAACTAAAATCTTTATCACTATTTATAAAAAATGCTGGTTTTAATCTTTCTATTGAAATAGTTTTCGTCTTATCTCCTATTTTAATATCGAAAGTTTTGCCTTTCCGACTTACAACATCGTAAGGGCCATCATAAGGAGGTTGCAAAGATTTACGAAATACGTCATTTCTTATGAATACACTCTTACAACTATTTAATTCGCTAGGCAGAAATAACGAACGTGAATTACCATGACTTGACGGTTTAGTCTCAAACTTTTAATGGAATCGCGAAGATTTTGTAAATATTCCGAATCCGAGCAATTTAATTTGGAATCCTCATAAAAATCACCTGGCAAACGAATTGTTTTACCATAAGTTAACTCTGCTGCACTAACGCCACTGTCACTGCGGGTTGCGGCTCGTAAGCCTAACAACACGACTGGAAGCTCGGTCACCCAGTTACTATTGCAGTTTAAACGTGCTGTAAGTGACACTTTTAGTGCTCGATGCCATCGCTCAACCATGCCGTTACTCTGCGGATGATAAGGTGTTGTTCGCATTTTAAAAATACCTAGGTACTTCATTAGCTGACTGAAAAGATCACTCTCAAATTGTCTACCCTGGTCGCTAGTAAGCTTCGAAGGGCTTCCAAATCGAGATATCCAGCCTTCGAATACTACCTTGGCTACTGTTTCAGCTGTAATATTGTGAACTGGAAAAGCTTCCGGCCATCCGGTACAACGATCTATCATTGTTACGCAGTATCTATGTCCATCTGCCGATGTAGGCAACGGGCCTACAATATCTATATGAACATGTTGGAAACGGTCTGCACGCTCAAACTCTCCTAATCCTGCTATCGTATGCCTATTAATTTTTGATCTCTGGCAACTAAAACAGGTTCTAGTCCAACTCGCTATATCCTTAAGCATATTAGGCCAAAAGAAACGTTGTTTAATTAAAGTTCTGGTAGTCTTAACACCGGGGTGACTTAAATCGTGAACCGAATGAAAAGCAATTTCCCTGAATTTATCTGGTAAATATGGTCTAATTCTGTTAGATGAAATTTCGCAATAAATATATTTTTCGCAGTCTAGCAATAATATTTGTTTAAATTGTAATTTACTATCTGTTGCTTGCAACGCTTGCTGTAGGTATTCGTCACTAAGTTGTTGCTCAGCTATTTCTCTAAAATCGAGTAATGTAGGACAACTGATCGTTTCTATCCGCGAAAGTGTATCTGCGACTACATTTTGCTCACCGCTGATATGACGAATATCGGTGGTAAACTCGCTAATGTAAGATAATTGACGAATTCTTCTAGGGCTTTCTTTGTCGTTATTTAATTTTGAAAATGCAAAAACGAGAGGCTTATGGTCAGTATAAATAGTCAGTACACGGCCTTCCACTAAATTTTTAAAATATTTGATAGCCATAAATACTGCTAATAATTCCCTATCATAAGTAGAATATTTCGTTTCAGCTTGTGAAAGTTTTTTTGAAAAATACCCTAATGGTTGCCAATTGTTGTTATTTTTCTGTTGTAATACAGCACCTACACTAGTATCCGAGGCATCGGTTATCAGCGCTAAATTAGCATCTGGTAAAGGATAAGACAGTGTAGCGGCGCTTTGCAAGCTTTTCTTACACTTCTTAAATGCTTCGACAGCCTTATCAGTCCACACAATCAAAGTTTTATCGCGTTTTTTTGTATTGTGCAAATATTTATTCAATTCGAATTGATATTGAACAGCGTTTGGAATGTGTGCACGATAAAAATTTAACATACCGAGAAAACGGCGTAGTTGATCGACTGTCTCGGGTTTCGGGAAATTTACAATAGCCTGTACTTTATCTTGAAGTGGTCGCGCACCCTCCGTAGACACTTCAAATCCTAAAAACTCAAGTGTTGGCTGACCAAAAACACATTTAGATAGATTAATAGTTATTCCATATTTATCAAATCTTTCGAAAACTGTCTTTAAATGCTCTTTGTGTTGACTTTCATTTTCGCTCGCGATAATAAGGTCATCGATATAACTGAATAAAAAGTCTAACCCTTGTAGTACTACGGTATCCATGAAACGCTGGAATGTTTGAGCTGCGTTACGTAATCCGAAGATCATGCGCAGAAATTCAAACAGTCCAAAGGGCGTTATAATGGCAGTTTTTTCAATATCCTCCGGGGCAACCAGTACGTGCAATAATCATGCAGTCTCGGAATCGGATAGCGATCCGGTTTTGTTATGGCATTTAATTTTCTGTAATCACCGCAAGGCCGAATATCACCATTTTTCTTTGGTGCCACATGTAATGGACTGGCCCATTCGCTTTTAGATGGCTTACAAATGCCTTATTCCAACATACGAGGGTCAAACTGAAAGTTCTTAGAACTGGCCACTTATAAACAATATAATAAAAAAATAATTCTAAAATTTGAAAATATAACTCTTTGCCAATATTACTGAGTATATATTTCATTCATTTGTCATTTGTTTTACGATTTGGCGGCAAATTGAAAATTGTCTGTGTCACGTCATCATGAATTTAACACGAGAAAATTTTCGTGCAATGATTTTTTATGACTTTCGATGTCATTTAAGTCAACAAGAAAGTTATGATAGACTACGATTGGCCTTTCACGATGAAGCCCCATCTCGTGCGACTGTTTACAACTGGTTTAATGAGTTTAAACGTGGTCGCACTAATCTCACTGATGATTTACGTGAGGGACGGCCTTCTACGGCGACGACTGAAGATAACATCTGTGTTGTGCGGCGTATGATAGAGACTGACAAAAGAGTGACCTATCAACAGATTCGGACAAGCTTAGGCATCGGTATGAGTCAAGTGCACAAAATCCTCCACGAACATTTAGTGGTCAGGAAGCTTTGCGCCCGGTGGATACCTCATAATTTGACTGAGGCTCAAAAACTCCATCGTGTGGATTGGTGTCGTAAAATGATTGAAAGATTTAACGGAGGTGACTCAAATGCTGTGTTCGACATACTAACAGGTGACGAAAGCTGGATTTACTGTTATGATCCTAAAACCAAAAGACAATCTGCTCAGTGGGTATTGAGGAGGATGATGGAAATCAGGTATTTTAAAACGAGATGAATGTCAGGTATTTTAAAACGAGATGAATGATAAATGGAAGATTTATTTTTTATCTCTTATGTTACAAATTTTAGTACAAAGAGTAAAGTATCAAACAAAAACCAAAATGACATTCTTTATAAACTTAAAATAAAACAATCAAAGATATAATGAGGTGCTATCGTGCACAGTGGGTGTTTCCTTTCGAGGAGTTGCCAACTAAAGAGAAGAGAGATCGAAGTGCGGGAAAAAAAATGGTGGCCTCGTTCTTTGGAAGGATAGGTCATTTTGCAACAATTGTGTTAGAGGATCAAAAAACATTTTCTGCAGAATGGTACACTACCAATTGTTTGCCACTTGTCTTGGAAAAAGTTCGAGAGAAACGACCTCGCAGTAGGATCCTCCTTCACCACGACAACGCCTCGTCGCACACCGCCAAGCGAACGATCGACTATTTGGCGACATCAAACGTTGAATTACTGGGTCACCCGCCGTATAGCCCCGACCTCGCGCCTTGTGATTTTTATTTATTTCCAAAAATTAAAGAAAAACTTAAAGGAAAGCGGTTTATGAATGCTGAAGAAGCGGTGGCTGCGTATCGCGATGCCATTGAAGAGACCCCTAAGGACGAGTGGGCAAAGTGCTTTTCCGCATGCATGTGCTTTTCCGCCCATTCACGTCAATACACCGCTGCATGCATCGCATGCAGCGGTGTATTGACGTGAATGGACAATATTTTGAAAAGATATAATAAAACTAATAACTGGCTAATGTAATCAGTTTTTGATTTTCTAAGAACTTTCAGTTTGACCCTCGTATGGCTAAACTCCTCCTTAACTTTCCTATAACGGTCAGGCGGGAGAGGTCTGGCTTTAGCGTATACCGGTGGGCCCGTAGTTTCTATATAATGACACACAGAGTGTTTAGGTGTCTCTTTGTACGATACTATTTTCGTTATGTCCGGGTAACAAAGCAATAAATCATGCCAATCACTATTACCTAAAAAAGTTTTAATAGATAATTCACATTCGTTATGACTTACAACAGAGGCGAGAACATTTAAATGTGTAATTTGATCTACTAACTTGCGCGCGCTCATGTCGACTAACAGCTGATAATGGCTTAAAAAATCCGCTCCTATTATCGGCTGTTTAACATTCGCTACGATAAAATTCCATTTAAATGCTCTCCTTAAATTAAAATCTAAAATTAAAGTACGCATACCATAAGTTTTTATCTCGGTTCCGTTAGCTGCATATAGTTTGTATTTATCACTCGCACTGTAATCGGAAACGCACTTTTTCGATGCCGGAATAACCGAAACGTTCGCACCTGTGTCAATTAAGAATTTCAGTCCACTTTTTTTGTCTTTAACACATAGGCGGTTATTCGATAACCCGATACCAACCTCCGCCTCCGGCCGTATCGCACTTAGTTTTCCGCTGGCTCTTGTGGCTTGGGCTTCCGCCAATTACAGGGCTCAATGCACTTTACGGCCTTATCTCCGTACCGATAATGGTAGAAACAAAGCCAATTAGGATTTCGTCGGTTACTGGAATTCTCTCTCTCTCGACCTTGTGACGGTGCCCGACTGAATCTTTTTCCAGCACTGTAGTTCCTACCCCTGCACGGTCTACCACGATCCGCTTGCCGATAGCGCCTTAACTCCGCCACTTCTATGCTGAGACGTGCTACCAACGCCGCCAGGTCGGATTGCTCCGAACATATAATTTTTGACTCACGCTTTGAGGAGTTGCTGCTGGTTAATACTTCAGCTATATTGGAATGCCCAGTGGCCTCCATGACCTTATCAGCCACTACAGCCAGATTTGTTATATCTGTCTCCTGTGTAACGGCCAACACAGCTTGCACTGGTGGTGGCAAGTGGCTATTCCACATGATTTGTAATGTCGCGTCTGGTATTTTCCCACGGGCTAGATCTTTCATGCGCCGTAAGAGCTGCGAAGGCTTTTGACTGCCAAGCTTCATTTCACCAAGAAGCTTCTGGAACTGCACGTCTCCGACTTCTCAAATACATGCAGTAGTCTATCTTTGAGGGTCTGGTACTTGTGCTCACTTGGTGGTGATAATAATAAATCGCTCACCTGTGTAATCGCAGCCTTACTTAATTTAGTAACCACTAAATTTTGTTTAGTGGCGTCCGATAGTTTCCGTGACTGGATGACAGCCTCAAATTGAACAAACCAGAGTCGCGGTTGGTCTGCCCAAAAATCAGGAACTCTCGATGAAATGGTGATGGAGTCCAAACACGATGAAGTCTCTGGCTTAACTTCGGGGTTGTGTTCCGAAACACGCGCTTGAGAACTTTCATTTTGTGAATTCATTGTTTATAGTGCACTTTTTAATTAAAAAATAAAAGTGATATAAATGTTAATTAAATAAAATGTTCAAAACAACTAAAAACGTAATGTTCATAACACCGGTCACCACTTTAGGGTATTTAGTGTCGGACCCTATATTAATTTATCAGAAGGTTAAATAAGAAAACATGTTCATTCTGTAATTCCGTATATTAGCGAGCCGACTAGTTAAAAAGTCTTTGTTCTACAGACGCTAACAAATTGTTTATAAACATCTTACAAACTAAACTGTACATGTACATGTAGGCATATGTGTCCCTACAATATATATATGTGTCGCATCATCATTACGAACATCGTTTGATTTAGTTTCTTTTATTTTAATTGCTAGTTACTCGATTACTTAATTACTCGATTGTAAAGAGAGCGTGATCATCGATACCCTTAATTTTATTAGAATGGTGACACTGACTTTGACAGTTCGTTAATAAAAAGCAAGTTGCCGCCATTTTGGCAGACATTCTGTTTCCAAACGCCGAGGCGTAAAGACATCAGATGACATCACGCTCATCTCGTTATATTTTCGTAAGAAAAGTGATAAAATGGAACAAATCCATGTTGGTATACACGCTTGCAGTGTTATTTTAAAGATAGTCCTCCGATATGGATTATCTATTTGGGCTTCGCAATAGCCCCTTCGGACTACCCGCCGTTATACATATATATATATATATATATATGAATATCAAATTCACGTTATACTATTTCTAATGAAATATTATTAAAAGAATAGATAAACAAAAAATAAATAAATAGAGTGTGTTGGTTAATGTTATTGTGTGAATATGAATTTAATTGAAATCGCTGCGGTAGTTTTCTTTATATAACAAAATAACTGAAAGCATTTTGCTTAATAGCAAAAAAAAATACTTAGATAATAAGTTATATTTTGTTGTTTTGTATGCTTTTTGATGAGTGTTTGTATATTGTGAAATTTCATTTTATACATTTGTTATAATATAATCCTAATACAAAGGCAAATAAATTATTCTTAACTCAAATTTTTTGATCAGTCCCTAATGTTGTTGTAATTAAATGGAGCTCGATGGCGCAGAGTTTAGCCTGCTCGACCTACGATACGGTTGTTAAGCAACTTTCGCAGGGGCCGATCATAGGATGGGTGACCAAAAGTTTACTATCTCGAACTCTTCCCTGCTTTGGAAGGCACGTTAAACCGTTGGTCCCCGCTGCATGTGCAGTTGTTAAAACCCATTCTCCATTCTCCATATGGGATTTGATTTGATTTCATCCACAGGGAAGGCCTGAGCCCCAGTCGTGGGCATATTTATAGGCTGATGACTAATAAACTGAATTGTAAATGATAACTAAATGATAATAAACTGATAATAGGCTGATGAGTAGCTAGATGGCGTAGAGGATAAGCGCCGCGGCCCGCGATTGTAGTCGTTAAGCAACTTTCGCAAGGGTCGGTCACGGGATGGGTGACCAAAATATTATTATCTCAAGCTACTCCGTGCTTCGGAAGGCACGTTAAGCCGTTGGTCCCGGCTGCATTTACAGTCGTTAATACCTTCCAATCCGCATTGGGCCAGCGTGGAGGGTCATGGCCTATCCTCCTTAACCATCCATAAGAAAGGCCTGAGCCCCTGCAGTGGGGACGTAAAAGGGCTGGTGGTGGTGGTGTGACTAATAAGCATTTATTATTATTTCAGGTGGTGTGGGCTATCACTGTTGTTGGATCATTGATTGGGATAATCGTAATCTATTTTATGAATAATTCCTACAATTACCAAGCTAAAGTAGGTGATATCAATTTTCGCGCCAATAGTATAGACAATTTTGATATTGGAGTGGGAGATTATCATATGAGTTCAAGAGATAATATGTCAACTCGGAACGCTTATTACATTGTGTACGTGGTTTGCGGTAGTCTGATTGGTGTGGGTCTATTCCACTTCTTGTTTGCCGTCTTACTTTGTAATGGCATCAATAAGGTTAGTACAGATATGCAAAAAAATCATAATTATTAACAGACCTCTTGATAATAAGGATAATGAGTAATTATTTTTGTCTCTCCCGCGGGTGTATTATTGAAGAATTTTCAACACGATTTTTTTATTTTTTGTACAATTGAGTTAAAGTGTCACATGATGTCATAACTTTGTACATTTTCTAAATAGTTGTGACGTAGTGAGCCCCCATTCTTCAAATTTATTATCAAATCCATTTCTTGTTAAATTGAAGCAAAAAAAACGTATCTAATATATTTCTATTATTACGAGTATACTGACGGACTAAATGTTTTATAATTTGATCCAGGCATCATCCTTATTGACAAATGCCGCCTGTTCAAGCAGAGCGACCAGAGCAGAGTATAATTTTCCCATGGTGTGACCTAACTGTCTCTTTTGCAATGTCATTATTATTATATTTAATGTGATATGACTGGCCGTTGAACATTTTATACGCGTTAGTGGATACGGTTCTAAGACTAAGTCACACAACATTAAGTATAATAATAATAATAAAATAATAAAAAAATATTTTCTCATCACACAGAATGTCTTACATACTAGTAAGTTACAAACACAGTTGTTCTTGAGGTTCTGGTGTGAGACTGATGTCTAAGTTAGATCGGTCACGGGATGGGGGACCAAAAAATATTATGTCGAGCTACTCCGTGCTTCGGAAGGCACGTTAAGCCGTTAGTCCCGGCTACATTTGAAGTTGTTAATACCCTCCAATCCGCATTGGGCCAGCGTGGAGGGTCATGGCCCATCCTCCTTAACCATCCTGAAGGAAGGCCTGAGCCCCTGCAGTGGGGACTTAAAAGGGCTGAGTAGGATGATGAAAAATGAAACGAGGTATTATACGACAGCGGGCGACCGGAGTCCGGGCCCGCCATGACAACTGATTTTATTGCACCTCAACAGTCCTGCGATTCTGTAAAATTACATACCCGAATTTGAATTCACTCATGTGTCCGAGTTCAAGACCCGTAAAAAAAAATACAAAACAAAATTTATCGAATATACGTGTCTCAGATATTCCATTCCTATGTCATTTCGAAACTCACTTCACATATGCCACGAAACGTAATTATTAATTCACCGGACACCTGAATGAATTCGTATTCGGGTTTGGATTTTTACAGAATCGCAGGGCAGCTCCATTTTTGATTCACTCGTTTAAAATCTTCTAGCCGTATACGACTTAAGTCACGCTCGACTTCTAAATCGCACCACGCAGTGCCGGTTTTAGCACTACTGGCGCCCTGGGCGAAATTTCTTCGGCGCCCTCTAACTGTCTACTTGTCTTTTTTCGCCGACCCGGCCTACTTACTTGTAATCTTCCCAAAATTTAGGTAGATTTTTAAGTTGGCAGAATTAGAATGGAAAGTAGTGTTCAATCGGTTTAATTTCTCAGGAATCCTCGACTTTCCGACCACACAGAAACAATGTATTTTTCTATAATCGGGGACTCCCTAGATCTATCTCTTTTAATTTTTGACGAAGGAGAACACAACCAACAATTATATTCTTGCTTGACATAAGTGGACGCTCTTAAAACAATTATTCGATTATTTTAAAACAAACAAACACAGTAATCAAACGTTTAACGCCACGTTACGATGTTCTTGTTCCAACTATATAGTGACATTAGTTTTATTTAAAAAGTAGACATATAAATAGCGTATAAGTAGCTGATTCATTTTTGACGGATCACATCATTAAGTAAGTACAGATTCAATTTTACCCTAACTGGGTGTCACATAATTGTTATTTATAACTTTGTGTAATTGTTGTAACTTTGTGGCAGTGAGTTTGCAGTGGGCCATTACTTATTATATAATCAATTATTTTGCTATTTCAAATAAGTGGACAAGTAGCTGGATCCGCTATATTCGCGACAACAGTATCAACATCATCTAGTACATGTATTTGTTGTACTTCTGTAATCATAGCACAACTTGCTCCATTACTTCGGGATTTCTCATCCACAATCTCTTGAGTAGCTATTCCATCTGACTTGCCAGACAGAGGCTCCACTGCCGATGCATTCGTTAGTATTGCAGCATTTTAGATTTAGTTGAACGTTTAAACATGCTCAAACGAAAATTTTCTTAAATGTCCGAGCGATAATGCCCGCCAATGTACGTCATAGTACCAAATAAAATACATATCTTCATATTGGTAATCGGTATGTTGTTCTGTTTTACCATAATATAATATTTTTCTTGTTAAGTTTCCTTTCAATTCATGCTGAAATTGAGGCAACTTGAAAATAAAAATCATCCTCAAGGTTCTTGTTCTTGTGTCGCCGACCCAGTAGGCCTTGTTCAATGAGCAAGGGAACTATAAGAGGGCGACTGTGGGAAATGAGGAAGTATTAGAAAAAAAAACATTAGTTCCCGAAATCAAACTAGATGTCGCTACGGTATGTTCTTGATTTCTCCATGACAACCCTTCCAGTTTTCTTTCATGTTTAAAAGTAAATTAGTTTTCAAAACCCAATTTCGTATTTCTATTGATATATAACTTTCGAACTTTTCAAATTTCAGTTTTTTAATATGTTAGTTAAAATGAACGGAAATGACTGTCTTTGTTCCATTCGTTTCCTGCAAAAATCAACTTTTGCTAGAGTCGCCATCTAGGTGGAGGTATTTTTGTAGTGCTTTCGTTTTTTTTAAATACTCCCACATTATACAGCATCAGAAAGAAGCGCGGCCTGCGGCGCCCCTTTTCGTCCGACGCCCCTGGGCGGTCGCCCAACCGCGCCCTACCCTAACACCGCTCCTGGCACCACGCCGTTTTTAAATGTTTTTAAATCGTTCGTCTGCAGGGTGGCCAACATGTTTCGAAAAATTTAATTATGTTCTTCGTATAGTACGAATTTTTATTAATATTTTTGCCATTTAAATAAAAAAAAGGGGGGAATGTAAACAAAACGGCCATAAACGTCGTACAATAATTCATTTCGATTTCTTTTATTAATTTCCTGTTTTGACGTTTATTCTATCATTCGCTTATAGCGTTTGCTAAACGAAGAGTCGCTCATACCATTCGTTGCAATCGAACATATTAGAAATAGCGAATGTTGAACTAAATTCAGTAGAAAAGGAGCTTATTTTTACTTTTCTCTTTGAGGAGCGCTCGACGCGTGACGAACGATTCATAAATAGAGCTCTTTTGCTTATGTGCTGAATAAGAAATTTACAAATGTATGCCTACAAATAAAATCGTTACATCCATTTAATAGTAGTTTTATTCAAATGTAGGTATGTGTATACGGAATAGTATTAAATCCTATTACAAATACCAACAAACTCGCTACGAGGTCATACAAAGAGAGTTCGGACGGCCGGTGCATCGCATTTTGTAGTGATTTTACTGAATTATTTAACATTTTTATCGATATAGTATAATATATCTTTATTTCTTATGAGGTAATAGTTCTTCTGGTACAAATTTTGTTGACTAACATTATTGTAGATAGGAGATATAACACGGTTAGCTTATAACTATTTTCGAAGTTTTCAATAGTCTTCATTGGTTAATAATATTAAGCACAATTTACGAAAAGCGACCGGTACGAACTATGCCCATAGTTATATTTTCGGCATTATTTAATAAGTCAAAATATGTAATATATCGTTTATGTAGGATAGGATTTCGAAAGAAGTTTATTATAATCGACTTTTAGTTTTCTTTTTTATTTCTTTTATGTGTATTTATACTATGAATTTTATTTATTTCAGAGAAACAATTCGCAGATCAAGGCATATTTCATATACGGCATAGTGATGGCTATAATAAATTCCATTGCTGTTTTGGTACTTGGTTCGATGGAAAGCGGTTTTTTTTTGTTTGTTGCTCCCATTGGTAAGTGAAACATTCCCAATATTACAATAGGTACATAATGCATTAAGAATTCACTTCAAAATCCAAGAGAATGGCGATGCCGGACCGACGGACTCGCTACTTTTGTCTCCAAAGAAAATCACTCATTAAAATGTATTTCTGTGTTTGTCTCCAATCTTTTATAAGTATAGTCAAAACAACAAAACCCCAAATTTCACCAATCGTCAAATTTCACTAAGTCTTAACTGCTTACAGTTAAATTTACTATTGAATACGGGAATTTGGTGTTATTTGATGCTCTGTGCACATTTAACAGATATTTTTGTTATTGTTTCAGTTGTCTACGGTTTTATACTGCATATGATAAAATTGACTATGGACAAGTTTTCGACCGGACAAGTACTCGGTTTCCAACACAAGCGTCTCGTGGAACAGTTCGGACCCACCCCTTAGAAACTAACACATTCCGATTTTTTTTCGTTTTATTGTTAAGATTCAAAATTGTCTCCGGAAAATTGGAAGCATTGTAGTTTATAATCATACTAGAATTATTATAATATAATCTAAGCAAACATAAGCCTACTTAAGTTCTTTATTATGGTAATTTTATATATTGCCTATATTCCACATTTATAACTTATTTAGTATATTTTTTTATCTGTTCCCATCTTTTCTCCCCTTTCCTTACCGGGTCGATATCCCTTATATGCTTTAATCGAGACGTCGTCGACATAGTGGGGCTGCGTCTTGACGCAACTGGGACGAGGCTTGCCTCTCCGTTCGTATGAACAAATTGAATCCCCAAATTCACTTTACGACCACAAACACCGAACTTTGAACAAACACTCTATAAAACTCTTACTAGCCAATGTACAAAAAAAGACTTTTTAGGTATGATCTAACTAGACAGATTATAAACTGTCAGTGTTTATTATTTTGTCGTGACATAACTATTATTAAGAAAGACATAATTTCAACACCGAGCATAAGTATATAAGTAATTAATCATGTAAGATTTAATTTTGATTTATGTATTGTTTTAATAGTTATTTAGTACCTATTTTTAAACATTCTTGTTGCTATAATCATATTTTTTAATAAGTCAATTTGATAAAGAATTTGATACACGTAATATAGAAACTGCGAGTAATTTTAAGAAACCTTGGATGCAATTATTTCTCTTAAACATTTAATTGTAAACTTATCATCCATTGTAATCGGTGTCCGATCACTGTTTGCTTTGCCTTATTTTTGTACGTTAATTAAGTAGATTTCATATTTTACTTGGCATCCCTCGGCGAGTAAAGGTTTCCTCAGTTTTACTCCAGATTTCTCTATCTTAAGCCTTGGTTATTCTGTCTTTACCCGGCTGAGGATTACGATAAATCTTATTTAAGTTCACATTCCGAGGCTTAAGTTCATTTTTTGATTCGTTTCATTGGTCTGGTATTGGTTTATGATTAATTAAATGAGTCAACAGAAATCGCACTCACTTCGCGTGCGATTCCTATCTACCAATTGAAATTCACCTTTAGATGCACTTACTCAAAAGGTTATATTTATAAAGACATCGAAACTTCTTTTACTTATTCAAAGCAACATATGGTTATATTATGACGTTTTATCGTAACTGATTGAAATTCATACAATTGTCATTAAATTTTAATTGAGTGCCCTAATATTTTTAATTTAAATTAATTCGCTTCACAATTTCTCATATAAACTTTGGCTAGTTACACGGTACCTACGAGAAATGAAAAAGGTTTCGAAACAACTTGAAGTTCACAATTTCACATCATGGGAGTTACATCGCAGACTCCTTGGTCAGCTTTGCTATTCTGTAAGAAAATTAGCGTCGAACTCAATGTCGAGTCGCTGTTACCTCATAGAGGTTCAATGAAGTATAACCTGTATTATTTTTGAATGGAGCAAAACGTTTTCACAATGGTTTCCAAGGGAAAGAAAAAGAGAGAGACAACAAAAAAGATAGGAAGATAATATCAGGCAGGTTGCCCGCATAACGTGGAGTATAGTCGCTAGAGAGAGATCGAAATGGAGGAGAACTTTGCGAACTGGCAAACGTGTGCAAAATCATGCAAAATTAAGTGTATGTTATATTAAATGTATCCTATATTCAAACAAAATTGCTGACTTGTTTAACTTTTAAATAAACTTACGGATGATTTATAGTTCGATTTTTATTTCTTAAAATGTTCCCTGATCTTTTTCTTTTATTTATGAATCTATAGGTATATCTTCCCTCTATGTTAAAGTAATATCATTCCAAGTGACATTTTCTGTATATACCTACTAGCTGTAACCCGCGGCTTCACCTACGTGGTCCGACGGCTCATTCTTAAGCTTATATTAATTAAAAATCATCATTAGCTTGCTAGGCCTGCTGAATAGACGGAATCAATATGGAGGTCTACCGGTGTTTCTATGGACACTGCGCATTTCTCTATAGAATAGACCTCTTCTGTCTATTTTAGTGGGCAGTAGAATCGATGCGTCTTGCAAAAATAAAAAAACAAATCTTTTCTTTTAAAAAAAAAATAGTCCTTTTATTGAAGTTGTTTATTAATAACGCCGTAATTTAGCTTGAATTTAGACATTTGACTTCCTGATGCTTTGCTTGTGTAAGATTCTATGACCGATCCTCAAAGTAATTTAACGATCAGCTTGTTCTTGCTTACTTAATTCAGAATTTTCAGATTTTAGTGCGTGACGCCAAATTAAATTTTGCCAACAGATATTCTGCCATCTCTTCAATTTGCTTACAAATTTACTCCTCTATTTTAAAATTACTACAAAAAATATTTTATATAATAAGGACGGATGTGGTGCGCGCGCCCTCTCGCGCCGCGCCGGCGTCTCGATGTTGAAGAAAGTATAGTTCGGCTCTCGTCCTTAGGCTGGTAGCTCAGGCGAAGTGAAGAACTAAAACTAAGTTTGCCACTAGCCACTCACTAAAGCTAAGACACTAAGAAAGAAAGATGACCTACCTAAGTACCTCTTCTCTATTAAGTAGGTACCTCTGTCTATTAACTACTAGCCAATGCCTGCGGCTCCGCCCGCCTAGTAAGGTTTTTATGGGTTCCCGTGGGAACAATGGGCTCCCCTGGGATAAAAAGTAGCCTATGTCCGCGACTCCTGCACATTAGCTACCCGTGTAGGTACCAAATTTCAGCCAAATCGGTTAACTATTTGGCCTGTTATGCGGTGCGGTAACAAACAAATAAACAGACAGACACACAATCATTCACAATTATAATATTCGTGGGATTTAGGACCTGGAGAACATTAACTTAACTTACCAGCTCTTTGCAAAATTTTGATTTGCGTAGTAAGTCTTTTAATATTTTCTTCCTTCTCCAGTTTACGTTTCCTGTTTTGTACACCAGATAGTTTCCTTTTTTTGTCGTCTGTTTCGGCCATCTACAAAATAAATTTAAAACAAAAAAACACTTAATAGATAAATAGGTAAAAGTTCGTTTTCGCCCAACTAGGAATCGAACCTGGGACCTTAGTATATAGTGTGAGTCAAGACACGTTATCATAAGCCGGAAAATCACACCTGTCTGATCTCGAACTAAGCAAGCACCTACTAAAAGCGCTGCATTGCAGGGTTTTATCATATATCGAATTATCAGACTAACCCCAGCGCCCCGTTTGATAAAGTTATTTCGCAAGGCTGACTACACTACAATAAACGAAGCATTAATGGCACACGACTGGGGTAAACTATACAATATTCATAATGTTGAGTTAGCTTTGGATGAGTTTTATGATGTTGTAAATAAGATAAATTCCGAATTTGTACCTGTATTCAGGGTGAAACATGAATCTAAGTATCCACACTGCTTTTTTTATTAGTGCTTTAGTGAAAATAATAAAAGAAAACCTTAAATTTCATAAACGTTGGCAATTGTATGGTAGGCTAAGTGACTACGATGCATTTAATCTGTTACGTAAACGCCAAAAACTCGTACAACTGGAGTGTTATAATAAGTTTATTGAAATAGCTGAAAATAATATAAATAATGATTGTAAGCAATTCTGTCGTTTTCTAAACGACGTCACTTGCACAGATGGCAGTGATATTTGCAATTTATTAAATTTCAGTATTTAAACCTAATGTGGAATCTAACAACTTGAGTTCTTTATTACACACCGCATCAGTTAATACCGTCTCTGTGGGTTCTGTTGAGATTACCGTCGATGTTGTTCAAAAATATCTCAAGAGTCTGGATGTAAGCAAAGGAAGTGGACCGGATGGTATGCCAGCAATATTTTTGAGAAACACCTGGAAGTCTCTTTCAGGACCATTGTCATATCTTTTCTATCTTTCATTAAGTACAGATGTTTTTCCCATGGTTTAGAAACAATCCTCTATAGTGCTCATCCATAAATCTGGAGGTAAACATAATTTACAGAATCATAGAGGTATTTCAAAGATCAGCGTGATTCCTAATTTCTTTGGGGAAATGTGTTTATGATGTAATTAATCCCATACTTCGTACTGTGATTATTGAGCATCAGCATGGTTTTATCAGTAGGAAATCCACGGAAACCAATCTTTGCGAATTTGTGCATAAAGTTGCTTCTTCAATGGACGAAGGCTTCCAGGTAGACGCGGTGTATATGGATTACTCCAAAATTTCGCATAGTTTATTGATTCGTAAGCTAGGTGGTATCGGTATACATGGTGATCTACTTCGGTGGGTCGAATCTTATTTAAGAGATCGTGGGCCTCAGGGTTCTCATCTTGGACCTTTATTATTTAATTTATATATTAACGGCATTCATTGCGTATTTAAAACATTCAAAATTTATACTTTATGCCGATGACAGGAAAATTGATAAAACTATTGAAAATGATTCTGACTGTTTGTTACTTCAAAATGACTTAGATAATTTAGTTACTTATTGCGAAAATAACTGTTTGCATTTAAATATAGAAAAGTGCTGTGCTATAAGCTTCACGAGAAAGATAAAGACAAATGTTTTATATGATTATAATTTACTTAATCGTTTAAAAACCATATTAATACTATAATCTCAAAGTCATTTCGGATGTTGGGATTTATTATCAGGATCTGAAGAGTCTTCAAACGTTGTTCTACTTTAACTCTTTTGTTTAACTGCTTTGTTAGATCGATTTTGGAGTATGCCTCAGTATGTATAAATTATAATTCTTATTATAATTTATACATAAACAGCACCGAAAGAATTTATTTAAAATTTGTAAAGTATATATCATTTAGATTGTGGCGACTGATACATAGCGACATCTAATTCATCGCAGTAACATCGCCACAACAATCGATAGCGAGAAAACTAGCATCGTCACAGCTATCGAGAGCAAGACGAACTGCAATAAGTTTCAACAGCAAGTAACGAGATGGCGCTGCACCGATACAAACAGCATAAATTAATAACTACAAGACATTTAGGACAAAGATTATAAATCACGTCGGGGTCACCACTTTACCACAGTGTAAATATAAGTATACAGTGGTGAAACTGCCTACAAGCGTTCGAAACCGCACGCACACATAAACACGCTCACCGACGAGCCGCCTAAGTGGACCTAACAGGACGCTCAGTAACGCGTATCGCGTCGAGATGAGGGGTCACGTTACACGTTCCGCGATCGTTTTTATTTAAAAAATGAAGGAAAGATTAAGGAAAGGAGTAGGCTTATGTGAAATAAAAAATAAGTTTTTTTTTTAGGTTTAGATGTTCTTTTAAATACCCGTTTCAGTATCATGCATATTTTCAGGTTGAAACGTAGTACGGTCCCACCCGAAAATGCTTGATAAACACCCAAAAACAGCCGCTCATGAGCGCGCCACCTAAATGCAGTGCCTACCTACCACGCGTCCGATTCGAAGAGAGCACGAAACGTTGGACGTTTCGTGCGCTCTTCGGCTATGTGTCCGTCAAAACTTGTACAAGGTTATGCCGTAATGTCAAGTTAAAGATCAACATAAAAACAAAGATTTACAAGTTGTGTCAATATTAAACTATTTCTCGTATGTTAAACTATCGTCTTTTGCTGAGATTAACCGATTTTTAACAGGCTTCAAAAAATGAAGGTTGATAACCTTCATTTGACCTGTGCGTATGATATATTTCCATAACTGCCCAGTTTTCGCATATGTTATTCTTTATCATGTGGTGATATAGAATAATATAAGTAGATATCACCGTCTGAACAAATGTGTATGTATATTTTTTTGTTTGTTAAGTTAGATTATTATATTACAATTCGATTGATTAATAATGTAAAAACTCCTTTTATATTTTGTAAAAGAAACAATGTCTAAAACATTCAAAATGACAACCCTATGGTTTCAATGGAGCGTAGGTATTTCTTTCATCAAATAGGCTTAGATACTATACTGTGTCATACTTATACTGTGACTTTTACTTTCAGACTATTTGATGTTGAAGTGCCACTTCCAAAATACAAAATATCATAGATTACGTTGCCACAGAGTGGGCGACAAAGATTATAAAACAGATGCGCCACAAGATGTTCGCATTGCAAAGATAATAGTGATGAACTTATCAAAAAGTCCCTATGCAAGCGCCGCTGCGAGAGGGATCAGAATTTTCTGAATAAGATCTTAAACAATCTGATTGACTCGTCCTCACTTATCAAGTTATCAGTAATATTTACATAAAATGTCCTCGGAGAAGCTCTGGAACTAAAGCTTTATTCAGTGTTCCTCTTGTTAAAACGAATTACACTGCTAACACATTTTTATATAGAACTTATAGTATTTATGATGACAAATTTAATTCGATTGACATTTTTAATAACAGTTATGTTATGAAAAAGTTGAGAGAAATACTCAATGATTAATTTGTGAATCTTATATATCATATTTGCCAATTTATGTTTCATTTTTTTTATTGTTTTAATTATTTTATTTATTAACACGTTTCA